AAAAGGCGGATGATAGCTTCGAAAACTTTAAATCCAGGGAGGATATTTTGAACAATATCATGAAGGCACTACAAAGGCCTAGCATCAACACTGTCGGAGTGTATGGGGATGATGGTATTGGGAAGACCATGCTCGTTAGAGAAATGAAAAGAAGAGCCGAGAAAGAGAAGTTGTTTGATGTGGTTGTTATGGCAACTGTGAGGATGAATCCAGACTTGCCAAGAATTCAACATGAAATTGCATGTGGCTTGGGTCTGGATCGTGTTACTAATGAATATACATCTCAAGGAGCTTCCAATCTGGAAAAGGCAAGGCAAACAGAAAAGAAGGTCCTCCTAATTTTGGACGATGTTTGGCAGCCAGAAATGTATTCAAAGTTGCGTGAAAGACTTCCTTTGGTAGATGAGAAAGAGGACAGCTTATTATCTTACAAAATTTTGCTAACCTCTACAGAGCGAGCTGTTCTATCTAATTTATCCGAAGAACAATTTGAAATTCACCCATTAGAAGAAAAAGAAAATTGGGAGCTGTTTAAGAAGATAGCAATCGACCAGGATGAAAGTATTCCGTTGCCGTTTTATGCAGAAGAAGAGATTGTCAGCAAGTGTAACCAATTGCCCATTGCTGTTACAACACTTGCAAAGGCCTTGAAGAGCCGGAATCCAGTAAAGTGGAAGGCTACTTATCGAAAGCTACAAAGCTACTCTCATTACGAGTTTCTTCATTCAACCTTGGAGTTAAATTATGGTTTGAAAAGCGAGGAACTCCAACAAACTTTCTTGCTTTGTTGTCTAATGGGTCATAATGCAGCCATTGAAGACTTGTTGAAATATGCTGTAGGCTTGGGCTGGTACCAAGGAGTCGACTCTATAGAGGAAGCACGAGATAAAGTATCGAAGTCGGTGTCTGAACTCAAAAAATCTTCTCTGTTGCTGGATAGTGGCAGCAATATCCACTTTGACATGCATGATCTTGTTCGGAATTTTGCTATATGGTCAATTGCTTTTGGAGAAGTAGAACTGGACAGCTGGTCGACAACAATGGAAAGCATCAAATGGATTTATTTATCAAATGCTTACGGTCATGATCAGCTTCCAGATGAGTCGAACTGTCCGGGGCTCACTTTCTTTCATTTGTCTCAAGAGGATCCTTCTAAACCAATTCCACCAAATTTTTTTAGTGAAATGGAACAACTCAAAGTCCTGGGTTTGACTAAAACTTGGTCAGTGCCTGGGTCAATTTCCCTCCTAAAAAATCTTAATACCTTGTGTCTGGATCAAAGTGTGTTAGCAGTTGAGAAACTGGGCAGCATTATACAAACGCTGAATTTGCAAGTCCTCAGCCTTGTGGGATGTAATATTGAAGAGCTGCCATACCAAATAATGGCACTGTCCAACCTGAAGTTGTTAGATTTGAGTGACTGTAACAAACTCAAAATAATTCCACGAGGTGTCCTGTCAAGATTGTACAGTTTACAAGAACTATATATGAGAAACAGCTTCAGACAATGGGTGATGGAGGGCGTTAACGAGCAGGAAAAATCAAATGCTAGCCTTTCTGAGTTGGAGCGATTACCGAGGCTAACTGCTATAGAGGTAGGAATTAATATTCCCAGCATCGAGATGATTAATATAAACCTGTTCCGTAGAAATCTGGCAAGATACGTGATTCTTGTAGGAGATATGTGGCACTCCTGGGATAGTTCTTATGGTAGTTCAAAAATGTTGAAGCTCAAGCTAGATGCAAAAATTAGTTCTGAGCATCCCGTTAAGAAGTTGCTAAAGAAGACAGAGGAACTACATCTACAGGGGTTGAGTGGTGTCAATAATGTTGTTAATGAGTTAGATGAGGAAAGTTTTCAAGAATTGAAGTATCTCTTCATCCAAGATGCTCAGAATGTTCAACATATCATTACCTCAAGGAAGCATGATGGTCAACATATCATTACCTCAAGGAAGCATGATGGTCAGAATGTTGATCAAGATAGCAGAAACTCAATACCGCCTGCATTTCCGGTATTGGAGGTGTTAGTTCTTCGCAATTTGGAAAAAATGGAGAAGATATGCCATGGTTTGGTTGGAGGATCATCTTTTAGTAAATTAATAAAGATAGAGGTTGAATTTTGTAATCAACTAAAGAATTTGTTCTCCTCCTCTATAGCTAAACGAAATCTTCTCCAACTGCAAGAAATTAGAGTGATAAAGTGCAGCAACATGGAAGAGATTGTTGATGACGACAAGCAAGGGGGCGAAAATGATATCTTGAAGGAACTGCGGTTCTTGAGATTAGAAGATCTACCAAAGCTGAATGCCTTCTACTGTAGTTGCAAGAGAATGACACTTTTCAGAGAACAGGTGCTTGATTAATTTCTTTTATCGCCTTTGGCATTACTTGTTTGTATTCTAGTTAGACATACCTAATTTCAACGAATTTTAACATGACCGTCCTATTTCCTTTTCAATCAACAAAATGTGAAGCAATTATTAGGAAATAATATTGTGCGTCGTGCAGGTTGCATCTTTCAGTGCTGCTAAACTGATGAAATTGATCATTAAGGGATGTGATAATTTGGAATGCATATTCTCATCTTCTATGGCTCGAGGTCTAAATATGCTGAAGCACCTTGAAATAAGGAAATGCAGCAGTATGAAAGAGGTCATTTTTACAGATAATAACGTAGAAGAAAAGATAATTTTCCCTCAGTTGAACATTCTGGAGATAAAAGACCTTGAAGACCTTGTCAATTTCAACTCAGGAAATTGTATTGTTGAATTCAAATCATTGAAGAAACTGCAAGTGTTGAACTGCCCAAAATTGGAGGGATTCATTGCGAACACACAGACACTCTTTAATCAACAGGTAAGTTTGCCTCATATAACTTGCATTGTGGCTTTAAATCTAGAAACTATATACTCATCCTTATACTTTCACGGATTGGGTAGACTGCATTTTGGCTAGAAATTTTGACAAATTTGTTAAGTCTATTTGATTAATCAAAATGAAAAAACAAAAATGAATTCAATAAATTGCATTTTAACTTTCTTTGAAAAAGAAGCTGATGATGAAAAAGAAATAGTAATCTAATAGTAATCTGAAATAAAGATATTCATATTTTATCTAACCTAGTTGATTTGACTCACAAAAAACCAAACAAATTGAGGATTGGTTTTGTAAAATTTCAAAATAGATATAATTAGTTCAGCTTGCAGTTTTAGCTTCAATTGATGGAACCAAACTAACTAAAAAATAAATTTAATTAAAAAAATATAATATTTCGCTTTTCCTATTTTATTTATGAATTATGCATTTTTTTAGTAGGTTTATAGTACTTAGTTTTGTGGCATTACTTGGTTTAGTTTGTTGAACGGTCATTATCTTAGTTTTGTGGCATTACTTGGTTTAGTTTGTTAAATGGCCATTATCTGCTTTCCTTTTTGAACTCTTAGAATTACTTTTCTAGATATATTTGTTGCATTATAGTACCTCCATGAGTTCATCAATGGTCGTTTAACCTTACCATTTATAATTTATATTATATCGGTTCTTCATTAAGAGGGACATGCTGCTTCTTCTCTTAAACTTAGTCTTTTGAAGTTTTCATTGCTGGGCGAAGGAGATCAACATACTCAATTAGCGATATGTCATGCAGAGGATTAGATCAATAGGTTTAGTTTGTTCCATAGTATGTATAAAACTGATTAATTCAATCACAACCAAACCAAACCAATCTAAGTTGAATTTCTTCAATTATAGTACATTAATGTTTATAAGCCAAATCTGTAAAAATTGGACCACAAAAAAAAATTCAAAATTACGTTATTTCAAATAAAACATGTGAGAAATTATTAAACTACTCTTCATCCATACCCTAAAATATGTTTATTTTAGGCTTTTCGCAATGGAATTTTATAGAAATGACATAGTTTTAGGTGTTTTTCCACAAAAATTTTTGCAATTCCAAAGGATAAATACTTTCCCATTGTTATTAATTATTAGGAAAATAATTAATATATACTCAATTCAATACACATTTTGATATCCATCTGGTTCAATCATTTAAAATATAATATAAACACAACCGATTTAATCAGTTCTTACATCTTATATGCATAATTACATCTTTAACTTTGTTTGCCTCTAGTTTCAAGTAAAAAAGTAATGATTTTTTTAACTAGTATGTTATGCAATGTATTGAACCAAAATATGTATCAATTAGTGTCCTAGTTATTATTATTATTTAAAACTTTTAGTGACAAAATATTAAAAAATAACAAAATTAGTGTTGTTGTCAACAAATGTTGTTAATCAATCTTTTTTTTTTTTAAACATATATCATACAACTGCATGTTATTTCACGTTTTTGCTTCCCGATTATCCTTAAATTGTTATTAGTTTAATCAAAGCATAAAAAAATTTTATGAAAGGAGATTCTCAGGGGCTGAGTTTTCTAACTTGGAGCTCTTGAAGTTGGCTCCAATTGGCATTCATCAAAACCGACAAAAACAAGCTTTCTGCGTTGTCATTGTCTTTAAAAACGAAGATCTCTTTGCAGGTCAAGTTTCCTAACTTGGAGTTTCTAAGGCTGTCTTCAATTAACATTAAACAAATTTGGCACATTTCGAGTAACGCTTCTGTTAAAAACTTAAAGAAGTTGCTTGTGGAGGGTTGTGGTAATTTGGAGTATCTATTGACATGCTCTATGGTTAAGAGTTTTGAACAACTCATGGTGCTCAAGATTTCTAACTGTAAGATGATGGAAGGGGTAATAAATGAAGAGGAAAGGATGTGCGAGATTTCCTTTCCTGAATTGGACACCCTAGAACTTGAAGACCTTCCCAAACTCACAAGATTTTGTCTTGGAAACTCCAATGCTACAATAAACTCCAATCCTGCTGCCAGTATTGAAAAGGTAATTTCTTCTTTGTTTTTCCCTTTACTTTTCAGTCAGTTACACCTCATAGATTTTGTATTTTTAAATTAGATTCTAAAAATTTTTATTCTAACTAAAAATCTCTTTGAAGGTTGAATTTCCCAAGTTGAAGTTGTTGAGATTGTCTTCAATTAACATTCAACAAATCTGGGATCTTTTGATTCCAAAAATCCCTTCTTCTGTACAAAATTCAAAAATCTCTCTTCCTGTACAGAATTTAAAAAAGTTGTTTGTGGAGGGTTGTGGCAAAGTGAAATATCTATTAACTTCCTCAATGGTTATGAGTTTCAAGCAACTCATAATACTCAAGATTTGTGATTGTGAAATGATGGAAGAAATAATACATTCAGAAGAATCAAAGGAAGAAACAATTTCCTTCCCTGAACTACACACCCTAGAACTCATAAAACTTCCCAAATGCACAAGATTCTATCACGCAGAAAATACTGACACACCATTTCTCTTTAATGAAAAGGTGATTTCTTCTTTGTCCTTTTTCCCATCATTTTCAAATAGTTTAATCTCATAAAAATTTTATATTGTTCTACAAATTTATTATTCCAACCAAAATCTCTTTGTAGGTGGGGCTACCTAAGTTGAAGTTTTTAAGCCTGTCTTCAATTGACAATTTGAAATATCTGTTGACGTCTTCAATAGTTAAGAGTTTTGAGCAATTCATGGCGCTCAAGATCTGTGACTGTAAGATGATAGAACAGGTAATCATCTCAAATGAATTAGTGGAAGAAGAAAAGATGTGTGAGAGTTTCTTCTCTAAACTGGACACCCTAGAACTTGAAGACCTTCCCAAACTTGCAAGACTGTGTCATGGAAATTACTCTAAATTTAAATTCTCCAGGCTTAGACAGTTCACTATAACCAAGTGTG